TTCAGAACCATCCATACTTTTTGAAGGGCTGAATACAGAGACGTGGTGCACTACGTGCCACAAGGTCCCCAAACGACCCTCCGCAGGTTTTGAATTCAGAGTTGTCCTTCTTCTAGACCAGTTGCCATCCAAGGCCATAGAACCTAGCCTGTGCTGCTATTTACCCATAGCACGTAAGTGAGTGTAATGGATTCGACTGGAATTCGAACTCGGCTCTCCGATTACCCACTCCAAGCCGCTATCCATTACGCCACCGTGTCTCAGATTTATGTTTATATATTCTTTTTATAGATAGAAATATTTAAGTAAATGCTCTGTTTATAATGTTGTGAAAATTTCTCGGACATTCAGGCCGGTAAATGTTGTTTAATACTGTTTATTATAAACAAAGCATTTACGTAAATATTTGTATCTACAAAAAGAATGTATAAACATAAAAATGTCTTTAAAAAAACATATATAATTTGTTCAATGTGTACTAAACGTATGTATGTGAATAAATAAGAGATAAATACTTCAAAGGGACATTTTGCACCAGTAACAATAAATATGAAGAAAAACCCTTGTATTTATTTTTTGACTAACATGAAATATCAACGGCTATTTAAAATCTTCTTTGCTTTTATTTATATATTGTTTTACTTCACTTCTTTTCCTAGGTCCTGTCCACGTTTCTTTTCAACCTTTCTATTTTCAGCCACTTCAATCATAAAGAAAGAACAATAGCTTCAATCTCGAGAAGCAAACGTACCACAACCGGCTGTTCTCCATTATCGATCTAAACGCTGACCTAATTCCCCGTCAAAAATGATAATATACAGTGCAAGCAACCGGTGATCGTGGTTTGAATATGCTCCCCGTCTGCTCAGCGAGATTTGTTTTGAATCGTCAACTGGCAACTAGGGATTTTAAAAAAATCATTCCGCCGATGTAGCTATTTATTTAACTCCAGAACAGCCTGATACATTTTGGAGCATCAACTGGAGCTTAAAAAGAATTCTTCCTGATAATATAGCCATTAATTATACTTCAAAACAGCTAGATTTGATTTGAAACGTCAATCGGAGCTTTTAAAAAAATGAACCCCGCCAATAAAGCGATTTATTTGACTACAAACGAACCCAATCTACTTTTTGATGATGTGTGTTCATTCAGAACGTTGGAGATTATGAATCTCCATAACGTTCTCTCTGTTGTTCCTTTAAATTATTCATTTTATGATTTTTCTTTGTCTTCTGCAATCTATTTAGTTAAGTAGATTACTCGCTGTTTTTCTTCTGTTAGTCTAACCTCCATTATGTTCCATGGGTGTTAACTTCTCCAATTAGGCTGTCTCTTTTCCTGCCAACTATACATCACACTTAACTCGTAATAATTGTCATCATCATTGTCATCAACTGTAACGTCTTCATTTGAATATTAAAGTTATGAATACTATCATCATTTTTGTATTTTGGGGGTCCAAGCAGTCTACTTACAAAGGGCCATTTTGTAAAAGTCTCCTAAAAAGAGTAACACCTTGGCAACTGTGCAGTTTTGTTACTAATCAAATATACGTAGCTATCTCCTTCTCAAAACCTACCTCATGTCAAATTCCGTCGGAATAGACACACCGTTAAATACGTTTATATTCTCCTGTTTTGAAAAATAATCACGGGCCTCCAGAAATTATGAGATTACGGTCCTCCACTTTTCTTTCTTTTCTTTATTATGGATTGCCATAACGTCTTGTAAAAGAAAATGAAGTGCTTTCCCACCAGAATGATCTTTCTCTTAGACTGGATGCCATACAGGGCTAGCCAATGATGCTTTCAAACACCATAACAAAAGCTATGAGAAATAACCTATATTCTGTTCGAGTATGCGCGGGAATAAATACCACTGCTCTTTACAAATTAAGGATTCATGCCTCTATACTAACTCTGAATTACCATGACTTTTTATGGCAAATATAGTGGGATGGTTTCTCATGGCCTTCTGCTCAATACAATTAAAGCGTTAGTTAGCGAATATGTTAATGTAGTAATTGAGAGTTCAATCTCTGGGTCGGGTAGTGCATACACAGTGGAAACGGCTCGATTAATAATTGCCCAGAGCTAAATAATAGGCGAGATATCCCTCGACATTATCAGTGGATCGAGAACAGTCTACCCGCGTAGTCTTGATATTAGTTCGAACTTCATTGAAGACTACCAGTATCGACAAACACTTGTTGAAACCGAATGAGCACAATAAATGTAACTTTGGAATAATAATAATAATAATAATAATAATAATAACGAAAAGGACTACAGTCCAAGTATAAATAATTTAAATAATTCTAGTTTGTGTTGATTATCTCCCGTGTTTTTTTAAATAGTTGAAATATTCAAATCTGTTATTTTTTTTATTTTTTTATCATTTCAATTGAAGCAAAGCAATAAAGCAGTATCTGTTTATATTTCTCAAGGATACATGGCACAGTGGATAAAGGCGTTGGTTAGATCCAGTGACAGGACTCAAAGAGTGTGAGTTCAATACCTGGTTAAGGCGAGAAGGGAATTAACAGGAGATAACTGACATCCATTAGACATGGCACGTGGAACTAGAACAGTCTACCCCAGTGAGCGAAATAAAGGGTTCAGTTCGCCATTCCAACCACCTGAAGAAGGCCGGAGCGTACAACAGCCGAAACGTTATAATAAATATGGCGACAAAGATGAGGACAATAGTCCGCATAATGTAAATAGTGTACAAGGCAATAAAGCCGCTAAAACCAAATGGGGAAACCGAATTTTAGAGAAGATGAAAAAAAAAACAAACAAACAAAAAAACAGTATTAAACAGAAATAATAATAAAAGTAGAAGAATTAAGAAGACAGAAGATAACGATTGACATTACATTTGAAAATGCGGTAGAAGAAACTGTTTGTATAGAACTTTCGATTACATCTCGACATTTAAAATGCAAAATGATGAGAAATGGCTGCCAATCTAGTACTAAACAGAAATTCATAAAATCTAAGTACCATACATGAAAGCCGGTATTTACCCGACCTCTCCACGACGCAAGATGTGGCGCAAGGCCTATTTTTAGATGGGGCGATCCGAACCCGAAGGCTCGCGCAAAAATCCCCCGTTGACCCTGCATACAAGGGGTCAGGTTTGTCTACCTCCCCAGATGAGACTCTGCCCGTAGTTATAGCCTCGTCTGGGTTCCTCTCTGCTCGAAAGCAGAGAATTCGACAAGTCAGCCTTGATACTTGATAAAGCCTCCTTACAGGAAAGCTCATTACAATGATTACCATGGAAGTATTTATAGAAAAGGCACAGGGAAGCTACGTTAGGCGGTTGGAAAGTGACGCCAAGGTGATGGGACAGGACCAATAAGAGACCAGATGTGGCAGCAATATCCAAAGCAAGGACGAATGGTAGACTCATAAATATGTAAGATAGATTCTTTGGATTTTTATCAAGAATCTCTAAATATATAGCAGAAGCACCAGACCAGATGTGGCAGCAATATCCAAAGCAAGGACGAATGGTAGACTCATAAATATGTAAGATAGATTCTTTGGATTTTTATCAAGAATCTCTAAATATGTAGCAGAAGCACCAGACCAGATGTGGCAGCAATATCCAAAGCAAGGACGAATGGTAGACTTATGAATATGTAAGATAGATTCTTTGGATTTTATGAAGTCTCTAAATAAATAGCAGAAGCACCAGACCAGATGTGGCAGCAATAACCAAAGCAAGGACGAATGGTTGACTTATAAATATGTAAGATAGATTTTGTGCGATAAAAATTGTCTAGCCCGATACAGTGAACCAACTTTCCTCGCAGTAGATCCAGCAGTTGATTTAATATAATCGTCCCACTTTATATCAGCACAAAACAACGTGCGTCACCCTCCTCTCCTGGAGATTAGCATCAGCCATTCTGCTGGAAGGCAGAAAGGATTCTCTCAACCGATTAGAAGAGAGAAGTTTTTTTGAGGAGGCGATAGAACTGGCAAGTCATTCCTTGCTACAATTAACAACAGATTGTAATCATGTTTTTTTTTAGATCAGCTACCAATTTGGTTTTAGCAAACCGATGAGATTTACTATAAAGTCAGGAACGAATTATTGTCATCAGCAGAGATACTGAAGTGAGAACTGATGACATCAGGAAGGTCGTTGAGTTAAAACTGCGGAAACATTCTTTTCAGTTGTACGGCATCTGTCCTACCATGAGCGTGGAGTGGTTTTCCATTGCCTTCTTCACGGTGATTTTCATTCGGGTACCAACTCTAGTTAACTAACTGTTAACTTATAAAGTGTTTATCCGCCCTTTAGCTGCTCATATATACCATTATACAGGGTAGCTAACCACCCGCCTTTCACCCAACGAAATATAGCAGGGTGTGAATCCGGTTTAGTTGCGAACCATTCAAAAAATGTTTCAATTTTTTTTTCTTTTTAAGTTAAAAATATTTTTCATGAACTCGGTTGAATGAAAGGAAAAGGCGCCGAACTGCTATGGAATATCAATCCTACTACATGGCAGTAAATGCTGGACAATTTTTATCATAGATGAAGAGAAAACTGGGCGTAGCAGAAATATGGTTCTACAGGAGGATGCTGAGAATATTATGAATGTAGTTAGCAGCGAGAAACGAAAATAACATTTCTACTTAAAGTCAAAAAGAGAGAGCTGAAATTTCTGGGACATAATGAGGTTAGACAATCTGGTTTTTCATTGATTCCTGTTTTACGGATTATCAACCCATTGAATGTTATTTAAAGCCAAAATATATTTTTAGATTTTAGAAATATTTGTTTATGGTGATAACAATGGATGAGTGATACAAGTATTACTAATTAACCCATAGCTGGGGGAGAAGAAACAGATTCATTTTGTTTCCAAGGGTATTTATGTGTAAGTGAATATAACACACTAAACGGGAATTGGAACTCGGCTCTTTGATTAAAAATTCCGACCCATTATCCCATTACATTACCCGAACATCCGAATTTACAGAACCTGGTATTCCAAAGCGGATACCCATCTCGGTACTGACCACGCTCAACGTTGCTTAATTTCGGTGATCGTCGGGGAACTGATATTTCAACGTGATATGGCCGTAAGGAAGTCTGCTTGGAAAACCTGACATTTCCAGAACGCAAAATGGCAGCGGTAGATAGCGTGAATGGACGGTTGAATAGAAAATGGAAAGGAAGTAAAAAGTTTATATTACAAAGAGCCGAGATAGGTAGTTGTGGAGAGCCATGAACGCCCATGTCCTGAATGTATTGAAGTAGTAGTAGCGTCCGTATGATTACCATTTTTGTTTGTTTTTAAATAACCTGCGAAATCTATTTCTTTTGCATAAACATTTTTTACTGTGTTTAATGTCGCAAACACACTTCAACATTTGGGTATTTTTTTTTTCAAAATGGCTTCATTCCGTCTGACTGAAGAGCGACTCTCACGGCTACACTTCACCGAAGAGAGAAAAAGAAAGTATTTAAAAATGTCCTATTCGTGAGCTTTAGTCTTATATCGTCATCTTCGAGAGAAAATAATGGCTGACATATTCGTAACTCAATTATCACGCAGACTTGTGGCTGTCACCACACGGCGATCTTTTTCGTCTACAAATTTAAATACTTGGCATCTAATAAGACTCTCTGCTATATTGAAAAAAGGAAGAAAATGAAAGATATGAAATAAAAACAGTATTCAATATAGATTCGGATTTTTCAGTAATTCGTAAGAAGCCTTGAAGAAGGAAAGGATAAATACGGATGACGGGTGTAAATAGGCCTTTAGGAAATGGTAAAGAGTGTAGATTCAATTTCAGAGAAAATGATAAGGCACATCATTACAAGAATAAGCATTTTGGATATATTTTTATCTGGTCTTCTATAAGCAATGTACGACGTCAAAACTGTATGTGGAGGAAAAACCATCGTTAGATCCGACGTGTTCTATGCCGACACGGTAGGTTCGAATTCTGGCAAAGACCGCGTATTTTTTTTTTTTTTTTAATAAGATTTCACTTATATTCGGGTCGGTAGACGAGAATAAATAAATATGGTTTATTTAAATGGGTATCCCGTAAAAGTAACGTTTAAAGTGATAATATCTGACAGATTAATAACCCCCCCCCAAAAAAACCAAAAAACATTACTTCTTTAGAAACTGCTTTGTTTGGATACAAGACAACAGATATGGACTTTCAAGAACCTGAGTAAGATTTGCGTTTATAAGGCAACTATTCTGCTTTACTTGATCGGCGATGCAATCCGTGCTTGAGTCGGTCTAGGATAAGGCGGATTTAACGAGTTTCTCCTGAAAAGTGCGAAGCAGTTTCGAATCCTGTTAGCGATATTTTCTCTAATAAGATTTCGCGAATATTCAGGCTGGTATAATAAATAAATAAATAAATATATTGTTAAATAAATAATCGGAGCTTCTACTCAAATATGGGCATCCACTAAAATAACGTTTAATATCTGCGTAATGACAAAAGTATGCAGGTGTAGGCTTTAAGAAAGCTTTATTCTACAGAGAATACATGGTTCGCGTATAGTGTCCTTTTATAGTCCAAGTAAACAGAAATAGAAGAGTAACACAACAAGGGGAGATCACTCGAGATTATTTATAACTATCTGTCGGATTAATAAATAAAAAAAAGACATTACTTCTTGAGAAATAACTTCAGTATCTATGCTATTTCTTCCACATTAGCATCAGTGTGTTTGCATCTTCAGAATGGATTAAAGTTCTTCTTTTTCCGTTGCCGTTTGGATATTTTTGGATTTTTTTTTTCAGTGAAGCCATTTTTATTCCTGACAGTATGATGTTTTGAAGCTGCTGTTTTTTTTTCTTTTGAACTGACAACATGCATTCTTGTGATTTCCACGTAATGACAGGAGCGAAATATGGCGATCTCTGTAATATCAAATATGAGAGATTGCATATCATACAATTTTGAAAACCTATTATTTAAACCTGATGATTGTATGAAAACATATGAAACTGGCAATCGTGGTCGGTCATTGCTCATTAGAAATTTGATTTATATATAAGACTCTGCCATTTAGTATGACATCGAGTAGCCATTTTCTTGCGTACATCTATAGAAGATTCTTTTAGGAGCTGCTTATTCTATTCTTATTATTGTAATGCTCTGTCATCGATGACATTAAGGGACCAGTATCGTCGAGGTCTTTTTTCCCTTTGCTTAAAAATCCTAAAATCTTTTATTGTGGGACCCACTGTTCTCTCCATGGCATCGAGCAATTCTTTTGGTAAAATGGTGAACCATTTCTGGTGATATTTTTGTTGTTGTTTCTTTTTAATAATTCGTTTTTCTAAATAATTGTGAATATGCAGCTTTTTTCCATCTTGTCCGCCCGGTAAATTTATTTGGAGTATGCTACACTTTTAACATCTTGAACTTGGCATAAATGTCTCCATTTTCACACACTATAGTTAGCAACCGCCTGGCAATCGTCGACAGTAACTGCACACATGAAATTTCATTTGCCCTAATCAATATTTAATATAATAAAGCTCCACGGTTTCATATAGCATTAAAGACGCTTTTCTTCTTTTTTCTGTAGTAAACTCCTTTCAAGAGCTGTTTATATATATATATATATATATATATATATATATATATATATATATGTGTGTGTGTGTGTGTGTGTGTGTGTGTGTGTATGTCTGTACACAGGGTGTCCATAAAGTTCGTGTATATATATATATATATATATATATATATATATATATATATATATATATATATATACTCTACACGCGAACCACTAATCTGCCACTGGGTGTCATGCCACTAGCGTTTACCGCTGGTGTCCTGCTGGCGTGTTCTTCTGAGCAGATATGAATGAATGTGAGAGAAAATCATGGAGAATTGTGTTTAAAACAGTAAAATCGACCTTGCTAGCCGAACGCTCCTCTGTGGCCCAATCGGTTAATGCACGTCAGGCTATATGACGGTTCCGTATAGGATACATGTTCGATTCCTGTCGGAGAACGCATTTTTTCTATGACGATTTCTCGGACATTCAGTCTGGTCAGTGTTGTAACCTCCGTTTATTATAAACAGAGAATTAACTTAAATATTTTATCTATAAAAAGAACTTATAAACATTAAAAAAATGTCTTAATATATATATATAGTTAATGTTATTTTAGATATGCTATATTCATGTATGATATGTTCTTACTATTAGGGAAATTACCTATTGAAATATCAGTTTCGTAGACATCAAAATTAAGACTTTTTCATGCTTAAACGCTATCACCATTACTTGAGAATAGTGTTTAAGCGTGAAACAGACTGTTTCTATCCAGTGTTAATACATACATCCGCACTGCTGATCTCTCTTTTCTCACTATATATATATATATATATATATATATATATATATATATATATATATATATATACATAATCTCCGACTGATAAAAAATCGGTCGGCTTTCGGTCCCGACCTGAAGTAATCTGATATCCAGCCACACTGATGAGTTGTGATACAGAGAAACAATCTGTGGATAACGATATTAGCTCTAGATAAGATAATTTAATCGGTCGAGCATTGTGGAGAGTAAGGAACGAATTAGTAAACAGTCCCTCTTACTGCTGACAATGCAAGACTCTCCTAGCGATTGAGTTCTCTGAATGACTGGTGTGTTTATGAAAAAATAAATAGGCAAAAATTCACCCTTCGCGTCGATGTCCTAGGCGTTAACATCTCCGACTGATACCAAATCCGTCGGGCTTTGGTCCCGGCCTGAGGTGATCGGATGTCTAGCTACACAGATGAACTGTGATACAGTGGAACAGCCTGTATGTGAATGACGATATATATATATATATATATATATATATATATATATATATATATATATATATATATATTATATTCAGTTTCTTTCTACCCTTATCTTTAAAATTTATGGAATATTCTTCGTTACCATTCAGTATTGTTATTTTTCTCTGAGAAATAAGGTCGTTGGACACCTCGATATATATGAAGACTGGATCGTACGCGGCTATAAAAATTAAAATGTTAAAATTTTCCAAAACTTGAAAGTTGTACACGCGAATTCTAGCTGCGCTCAACATGTGAGGAAATGAACGCTTCTATTCGAAAATTCACAAAAATATAACACAACTTAGACGGTCAAAAAATGACGAAAACTAACAACACACACAAAAAAAGCATACTTGAAAATGGCTAAAGAAGTGACTGAAAGTACTTGCGGAAATGAAAATTATAGAAAATTTCTGTACTCCCTTACATAACGGTAATGGAAAAACAGAATAAAAAATTAAATAAATCTTCTTTACCTACCTTCTTTAAAAGAAATGTTATTGCCCAAATATACATTAACACACACACACACACACACACACACATATAGATAGATAGATAGATAGATAATATTAGCGATCAACACACACACACACACACACACACACACATATATATATATATATATATATATATATATATATATATATAAAATTTCCAAGAGGATAGAATCCAGGTAGAGCTCAATGTCCAGGACAGAAAAAGAATATAATATAAAAAGGCTCAAGCACTAATATTTACATGGTTATAATTTATTACAATGGAATCGTAATCACGATCCAATTCTTCAGACCTACAAATTCAAAATGGTGAATATATATATATATATATATATATATATATATATATATATATATATATATTGCAATTTTATGGCTTGATAATGGCTAAAGGTATAGCCGAAAGTGCTCGGAAATACAAAAACATTCGACAGTTCTTACACACCCTTTGTCCAGAAAAGAAAGCTCTTGTCAGAACACAAGAAAAATTAAATAAAAAGCTCAACCGTAGTACCTTGTCTGTCGTTTTTAATGAAACATGCATATATAGCAATTGTATATATGGGAATTAGCGTGGCGTCTAATTGATCATTCTTTCTACTCTTCTCTATTCCTATATAGATAGCTATTCTCTATACACTATACTATTTTTCTATACTTATCACTATACGGATTACTATTTGAGCGAGAATTATCTTTCAAGTACTGTTATTGCTATTCGAGGGCGTCTGGCACCAGTAT